AATATGGGTGAAATTTATGACCTTTAACCTCCAGTTTTTAACAAATGTCACTGGGATCATTTGCTATTTGGGAAACTAATAGGGGTGGTTTTTGACCTTTGACCTCAAATTTAACAAACGGGGCACTGCATGGGAGTCGCTATTTGCAACTAATTGGGGTCATTTTTTGACCTTTAAAAACCTTCCCGTTTTTAAAAAAGTCACTGAAAGCAGTCGCTATAAACATTAATAGGGCTCCCGTTTATGAACCCTTTAACCTCCAGTTTTTAAAAAAGTCACTGCATGCAGTCGTATAGATCTAAAGGGCTCATTTTTTGACCCTTTTAAACCCCCAGTTTTAACAAATGTCACGGGAAAGCAGTCGCTTTTATAAACAAACTAATTTGGGGCCCGTTTTAAAAGACCTTTAAAACCCCCCCCTTTAATCAAACCCTCACTGCATGCAGGTCGCTTTTACATCTAATTTTGGCTGGGGTTTTTTGACCTTTAACCCCAGTTTTTAAAAAAAGTCACTGATGCAGTGCTTTTGCATCTTAAAATGGCTGAGTTTTTTTCCTTTTAAACCCCAAGTTTAACAAACGTCAAATGCATGCAGTTTGCTTTTAGCATTAATTAAAGGGTGGTTTATGACCTTTAACCCCCAGGTTTTTTCAAACGTCACTGCTTTCAGTCGCTATTGCATCTAATTTGGGCTTTATTTATTTACCTTTAACCTCCAGTTTAACAAACTTTCCGCATGGGAATTTGCTTTTTTTAAATCTAAATAGGGCTGGAAATTTTTTGGAAACCCTTTTAAACCCCCAGTTTAAAAAAAACGGGCACTGCATGCAGTCCGCTTAGATTTGATTAATATGGCGTTTTATGACCTTTTAAACCTTCCCGTTTAACAAACGTCACTGCATTTCGTCGCTTAAAAAGATCTAATATTGGTGGTTTAGGGCCCTTTTAAACCCCCAGTTTAACAAACGTCACTGCATGGTTCACTATACAAACTAATAGGGCTGAGTTTATGAACCCTTTTAAAAACCCCCGTTTAAAAAAACGTCACTGCATGCACGCTATTGCAATTTAATAGGGGAGTTTAAGACCCCTTTTAAACCCCCAGTTTAACAAAACCCTTTACTGCATGCAGGGTCGCTTTTAGCAAACAATAGGGCTGAGTTTATTACCTTTAACCTCCTTTTAACAAACGAACCCGCATTTCCGGGGCTATAGCATCTAAATTTTGGGTTTAGTTTTGACCTTTAACCTCCAGTTTTAACAAAAAGTCACTGGGTGCAGTCGCCTTTTAAACATCTAATTGGGCTGGTTTTGACCCTTTTTAAACCCCAGTTTAGCAAACGGGCACTGAATTGGGAGTCGCTATAGCCCTCTAATATGGCTGGGGTTTTTGACCTTTAACCTCCAGTTTAACAACCCTCATGCATGGGAAATCCCCCATAGCATTATTTTGGCTGAGTTTTTTTGCCTTAAACCCCCATTTTTAAAAAAAAACCCTCACTGCATTCAGTCGCTTACCTCTAATTTGGCTGAGTTTAAAGACCTTTTAAAAACCGTTTTAAAAAAACGTCACTGCATGCAGTCGCTTTTAAAATTTTAAAAAGGGCTGAGTTTATGACCTTTAACCCCCAGTTTAGCCAAAAAGTCATTTCATGCAGTCGCTTTTTAGGGATTAATTTTGGCTGGGGTTTTTGAAACCCTTTTAAACCCCCAGTTTTAAAAAAAACGTCCCCTGCATGCAAATCCCCTATAAAACATCTAATATGGGGTGAGTTTATGACCCCTTTAAACCCCCATTTTTAACCCAAAAGGGCCTGATGCAGTCGCTAAAGGGTTTTAATTTGGGGTGAGGGTTTTTACCTTTAACCCCCAGTTTAAAAAACGTCACTGCATCAGTTTTTTCTTTGCATCTAATAGGGGTGAGTTTATTGACCCTTTTTAAACCCCCCTTTTTGCAAACGTCACTGCATGCATCGCTATAAACATCTAAAAGGGCTTTAGTTTTTTGACCTTTTTAACCCCCCCAGTTTAACAAACGCCAAATGCATGCAGTCCATAGCAACTAATAGGGTTTAGTTTATGACCCTCCCCCCAACGGGAATCGCATCCAACCGGGAAATGGAGAGGAAAAAAGGGCAAAAGGATCCCCTCATCCAACATCATTCCCAGGAAGACTCTGAGTGTAGAAAACAGACTTGGCCTGTTTTCTACACTGGAAAACAGGCCATGCTCCAACATCTAGAAACAAAGGTGTTGATGGCAGCAGCACAGCTGATATTTCTCTCCAAGGGTTTAGTCACCCGCCAAACGCAGAGGGGGGAGAATTTGAGATAGAAAGAAGCGAATGATGAAAAAGGGGGCCCCATGTCCCCCCGCATCTAAGCCAAGCAGCAAAACTATAGAGGGTGTTTAATTAAACCCGAGCCAAAACAACCCAAAGCTTTATTTAAAAAAGGGAAAATTTTAAAACCCAGCCCTTTAAAAATAACGGGTGTCTGCCCCATGGAGCTGCCAATCCCAAAATGGGCTTCCCCATGGGGGTGTCACTGAGTGGGGAAAAACCCGGGTTAAAAACGTGAAAAGGGTTTTGGGGGTGGGGGCCCGTGGGCGAGATCCCCGACTTTCCCCTTTTGCGTACCCGTTACCAAAAGCCCGGCTGCTCAGGCACTGTGGAGGACCCCTACTGGGGGGGCCCACCCTTTTAACCTCCGGATGTTTAGCCGAAGCCCGGGTTCTTTAAATCTGACACCCCTCCTCCAAAGCTACTAAAATTTCTGCACTTATTACACATCCCATTTCACTAAAGGGGGGCAGAGGGGAAAAACTGAAAAATCTGACACAAAAGGAAAGGGGAGAGGAGAGGGAAGAAGGAAGAGTTTGGAAAAAAGGGCAAGGGGGGGGAGAGAGAGAAGCCCTTTGCAATTTTCAAAAAAAAACTTTGCGCAAAACTTAGGCTGCTATCCTTTTTACCCCGAAATAAAAAATGTTGAAACTGACAAATTTCCCAGTAGAAAGGACAGCAGAAAGGGTTTTGTTTTAAAATGGTTTTTGGTTTATTTTGAGTTCTTAGATACAGGAAATAACACAGAAAAAAAAAAATTTTTTTCAGAAAAGGGGAAACCCCCTTGGGCAGCAACAAATACTCAGTTAATTCCCAAAAAGGGAGTGAACAAAGATACCCGGGTTTAAAGCAAATCGAAACCCGGTTCAATTCCTTTTGCTACCTCAGATGCTCCACCCCCCCCCAGAGACAAAAACCCCTCCCTATTTGAAGGGCTAAAAATTATGAAGCATTGTGCTTTTCAGGGGGGGGTGTTGGCCCAGTTTGGGTTTGAGCAGCTTGGCCTCTGAGGGAATTTTTGAAAAATTCCTGTTTTGATCACCACAACCTTTTGGTTTTCCCTGAGCAAAACCGTTAACCCCCCCCACGCTCGCCGGGGGGCCGCAAAATGGAAGCCCACCCGCTCCCCAAGGGGTTGGGGTTAAATTTCAGAGAGGGGATTTTTTCTATTTTTTGGGATTTAAAACTGACATTTTTTTTGGGAAACCCATGGGGGTTCCCCCGGGGATTTCCCGTGGGGTTTTCCCATGGGATTCCCGTGGGATGGGAGTCAGTAATAGTAACGATCACGTGATCGGGACGGTACAGGATTAAACATTAACGGGAGCAGACGGGAGCGGGAGCAAACCAATAATAACTAAAAAAACTAGGATCGATGCCAAAAAATAAAATAAAATGGAAAGAAAAAAAATCCAGTACTGGCGCCGCCATTTTGTAGTTTTTTTCTTTGAAGCCTACACTATAATGCGAGTCAAAAAAAACTACACGACCCAAAAACCAACAGTGCTTCCGCTCTGAGTTTTTCACCCGCGCTCAAAAACAAGAATGGGAGTGGTGCGGGAGCGGGAGTCATTCTGAATGGGAGCGGGATGGGAGTGGGAGTAATTTCACCAGGAGTGGGACGGGACAGGATTTAGATTTCTACTCTGGCCCGGGATCGGGACGGGACACAATTTTTTTCTGTGGGAATGGGACGGGACAGGAGTGAAAATCCACTCCTGTGTCAGTCTCTATTGTGGGACTGTCGTGGGTAAAAAGTATTCAACTATTCATCCTAGTTAAATAAACGGAGATCGATGGATTTCACTCGTCGGCACATTTATTCATATCTTTGCAAAGAGAGAACAGTTCATCATACAGCCCTAATGGCAGCATTCTGTTCTGTTCTGATCTGGACAGTGTTCCTTCCCCCCCTACTTACAACAATGGAAAAGTAGTCAGAGTCAAAACTAATTACAGACACTTTAGTTAAACAGTAACATGTTATAAATAAACCTTGAGAAAGAATCTGGATTGTTATGGAAGAAGCTCTGCTGGTCTACAGACACCATCCTGCAGAGAATGGTGTGGCCTTCAAGGTGAAACAGACTGAGAGAAAACTTTTATAGTGAGTAAATGGGATAAATTAATATATAATAGAAGAGAAAAAAAAAAACAAATTTCCGATAACAGGGACAAAATATGGATTTATGTTTTTTTAGAAGGAGATCCGTCCGTCTGGGGGTCGCACTTAGGCTGGTGCTGATCAGCATCAGTCAGAGGATGAAAGGCGGGGTGCAGATCGTCATCCTAATATTAACCCCATAATGAAAATATTTAGTGATTTCTATGATGTCAGGGACTGACTTTAGTTTTATGCTTTTGCTTAGTGTAGGATGTGGCGGGGACAGCCCATAGCTGCTCTCTGTTCTGTTCATGTGCGTGAAACATTCGTTGAGTTTATTTCAAAAGTTGTGCGACAGTCTCGTTCCCACCTTCCTTCCTTGAATTATTCACAACTAACCATCACAGCACAGAAAATAAAAGCAGAAACACATTTGGAGGAAAAGCCCTCTGATTCTGACGGCTTTTAGAAAGTTGGACATCCTGTGAACTTGTGGTTCATCTTTGTTTGGATCAGTGATGCCTTCTTGCTGTTCAAATTTTGGACATTTTGCAGGTGAGGGGCGTGGCTTCCAGACCTGCATCGATGACATCACCTCAGCCCAAAACTGACTTGCTGACAAAAAGTGGGAGCAACCAAAAACTCTTGCTGGTCCAGTTAGGAAAACCAGTTCCAGGTAACGGTTTAAACACTACCCTTTGATGTACCTACTGTAGGCGACCTTCCCACTGAACACCATCCTCCTGTTCTCTATGTAGTAGGGAGAGTCTGGAGCAAAGCTGATCGAGGCGAATTCTACGAGTTTGGCGAAATATTATGTCCGCCTCGTGTATTAATGCTTGGGACAGCAGATGTTTAATTTTCCTTCATTTGAATAAAAGAATTTCATCACAAAAAGACTTAATATAGAGGTGTGTTTAGACCATACCTGGTGTCTGCGTTGGATTCCCGTAGAATCCCTATCCAAACCGCCCAATCTTTCGAGAGCGGGGGGCATCTTTGGGGGGGGGGCGGGATCTTTGGGGGGGAGGGTTTCAGGTGGGGGGGGGGTATGTGGATCCTATGGGGAAGGGGGAATCCCTTCACATCTTCAGCTGTTTCAGTGCGTTGACCTTAATGCTCTGGTTTTCCTAAAGGAATTCCTCGGTAGCCTTCCTGATTAAGCGGTCTAGATTTAAACGTCTGAATCCTGCTGGTCGAAGTCATTTCTCCCAGTTTGTGGTCTGGCCTCCAGGAAACTGAACTGGGTCCAGAACAGCTGAACATCAGGATGTGTAGGAGGATCCAAGTCTGACTCCTTCCTGTTTCTGCATTGGGGGAAATGTTCTGGTCTGTAGCTAAATGGGTACAGACTGGTCGTCTCCACATCCACGATGCTACACTGTGTCCCAAAGCTTTGGTTAGCATTGGACCTGATGACCGACTGATTTAGTGAGCATCTGAGGGTAGAAACCTGGAGTCCTATTGGTCTGTCCTCAGTGTTTTAGTCGTCTCTCTCTCTATCATCAGCATCCAATCAGCTGCCACTCCCATATTGTATTATGGGCTAATTGTGGGGGGGGGGGGTGGGCTAATGGTGGGCGGGGTGGGGTGGGTGTCGACGGGACGGGGAGGGGTTCTGATCTAGGGTCTCATCCTATTAGAGTGTAACTGTAAATCTTCCTGGTTTAAAATAATCCTCCTATCTGATGCTCATTCTGACCTTCATATGCTGTTCCTCAGCCAGTTTATCTGACCCAGCATATGGTGACCTATGGACCATTGCTGATTGGCTGTTGGTTAACGGGAGATTCTATTCAGTTTATTTCTATAGCTCCAATTCACATCATGTCATCTCAGGTCACTTTCCAGTTCACCAGATCATCCAGTCAGATTGATTCAAAGTTTTCTATCTAAGGAAAACCAGCTGATTGCATCGACTCATTGACTCTTCAGCAATCCCTCACACTAAGCATGCTTGTAGCGACAGTGGAGAGGAAAAACTCCCTTTGAACAGGAAGAAACCTCCAGCAGAACCAGGCTCAGTGTGAGCGGCCATCTGCTGAGGCCCACTGGGGTTCAAGGAGACAGAAGCAGACATAGAAAAAGAAGCATAGATACAAAAGGCAACTGTCAACCAGCTCCACAGGCGGCCCCGTCCAGGAAACACACAGCCAGGCAGACGAGCTCCGAGCCAGCTCCCATGTCAGAGGATGAAGAGAGCACATCCAGTTAGCAGTGTTGTGGTCAAGACCACCTAACCTGAAACCAAGACAAGACCAAGACCAGCACCAGTAGGTGACAATAAAATATGAAACATGATCAAAATCATTAAAATTTATCTAAAAGACCCACATTGACATAAAACAACGAGATATTTAACACATAGAACTGGAATAAACATAAACATCTTTATTTATTACTTCTGTGTAGTAATTACAGAATTTCAAACAATTAATCAAAGTCGATCAAAATAGTATTTTCTCTGCCTTTCATGAACAGTACATACATTTATGTTGTTTTTAAATGTGCTATTTCAAAACAATGAGCAAATGTGTAAAACTGAAAAAAAGCCAATCATTTCTCTTGTTTCTCTCTCATATACAGATTAAAGCTATATTATATAACTTTTCTGAAATAAATCTATATTTGTCACCAAGTTGTGAAAATATGTTATGAGATAATTTATTGAAAAACATAGATTGATCTCCTTCACTTCCTTCTGAGCTGCTGACATCTGCAGAAATACAAACCCCACTGAAATACAAAAGCCTGACTGACTTCTGTCAGTTCTAAGACCCTGTTGCTGATCAGATGGTTTGTTTTTGACCAAGCGGTTTATTTCTCTAGTTAGTACTGGGAAAAGGTAGAAGTGCTCAATATTTTCACAGCTTGTCGGTCTCATAACATACTGTCACAACATAATGACAAATAATGACAAAAATCACATAATGATGAATATGTAAATAAAAATGAACTATATAACTTTTATAAAGATATTTTGTTTTATTAAAGTTACATACTGCATCTTTAACTTTGCTGTTGAATGAAGGTAGCAACTTAAACATAACATACATAATAAAGAAATCTTACATTTAGAGTCCCAACTGCATGTGTTTCAAAAATTTAATTACACAACTAGAAGCGGTTTCATAATAGAATAAAAGAACTTTGATACCGAGGAGCTAGCTAGCTTTCCTAACATCACTTTTACACATAGCTTACCTTTCTTTGTGCTTTCTGTCAAGGTGTCGATAAAAATTGGTCGTAGTCCCTACCGTCTCTGATAGTGAAGCACTGCAGAACTTACATTACGCTGTATGCTTTTCTCTCAATGTTGCTTTACAAATATATTATTTGTGATTTAAATAGCTGAATTTTATAACCGATGATTTGGTCAACTTCTTCTCCCGTTCTCAGACAACCACTTGTGACTATCAATCGAAGTGCTGCAGCCCGCGCACAGGTGAAAGGGGGTGGGCGGGACAGCAGTAAAAAACAAACAAACAAACAAAAAAAACTGCATTTACCAATGAGACACTTTATTGCTTGGATTTGAATCCAAGCATCCAATAAAAAGAAGGATCTTAAAGAAACTGATAATATTCTGATGATTAGCGTTATTTCCACAGTTGTGGTCTTGACCGGTCTTGAAATAAAATGCCGAGTCCTCAGCGCCCGAGACTGAGACCAAATGCGGTCAAGTCCGAGACGAGACCGAGACCTTAAAAAAATGGTCTTGAGACCAAGACCGATCTCGAGTACTACAACACTGCCAGTTAGTCACAGTCAGAGAAACAGGACTACACTGGAAAACAGACCAAGCTCCAACATCTAGAAACAAAGGTGTTGATGGCAGCAGCACAGCTGATATTTCTCTCCAGGATGGAGTCACAGCCAAACAGGAACAGACCAGATGAAGCTACTATGAGAAAAAGCAGAGAGAGCAGAACGTTAGAGATTGAACTAACAGATTCTGCAGAGTGGGAGAATAGAGATAGAATGAAGCAGAATGATGAAAAAGGGGTCCCTATGTCCTCCAGCAGTCTAAGCCTATAGCAGCATAACTATAGAGATAGCTCAGGATAACCTGAGCCACTCTAACTAGAAGCTTTATCAAAAAGGAAAGTTTTAAGCCTAGCCTTAAAAGTAGACAGGGTGTCTGCGTCACGGACTAAAACTGGTAGTTGGTTCCACAGGAGAGGAGCCTGAGAACTAAAAGATCTGCCTCCCATTCTACTTTTAGAAATTCTAGGAACCACTAGTAAACCTGCAGATTGAGAGCGAAGTGCTCTGTTAGGAACATAAGGAACAATCAGATCTCTGATATCAGATGGAGCTTGGCCATTTAAGGCTTTATATGTGAGAAGGAGGATTTTAAATTCTATTCTGGATTTAACAGGAAGCCAATGAAGAGAAGCCAGGATAGGAGAGATATGATCTCTCTTTTTCATTTTCATCAGAACTCTGGCTGCAGCATTTTGGATCAGCTGAAGGCTTTTAACTACAGTTTGTGGACTTCCTGATAGTAAAGAATTACAATAGTCCAGCCTTGAAGTAACAAATGCATGGACTAGTTTCTCAGCATCACCCCTGGACAGGAGATTTCTAATTTTTGCAATGTTCCTCAGATGAAAGAAGGAAATTCTAGAAACCTCTTTGATATGGGATTTAAATGACAGGTCCTGATCAAAAATAACACCAAGATTTTTTACTTTATTGTCTGAAATCAGTTTAATCCCATCCAAATGAAGTGACTGACTAATCAGCTTCTTTTTCAGAGACTCTGGTCCAAAGACTATAACTTCTGTTTTATCTGCATTCAGAAGCAGAAAGTTAAGAGTCATCCAGGTTTTTCTGTCTTCAGACATGCCTGTAATCTATGTAATGGGTTAGCTTCATCTGGATTATAGACAGATATATCTGGGTATCATCAGAATGAAGGGGATCCTTTAACTGAGCTCTGTTTGGGTCATTTTCCAGGGACGTCTGCAGGGAAGCAGTCTGCCGATCGAAACACACTTCTCTCCGGCAGAAGTTCATTTAAGGAGAGTTCAGGATCGTTCAGGTACTGCCAGCAGGTCCCAGATGAGTCTGAAGCTCCAGATTGTGTAACTTCAGGTGCATATAGGTGTCAGTCTGGCTTTAGAGCTCATCATAGCACTGAAACAGCTCTGGTGAAAGTCACTAATGATATTCTCATGGCCTCAGATAATGGACTTGTATCTGTGCTCGTCCTGTTGGATCTCAGTGCTGCATTTGATCCAGTTGATCATAATATTCTTTTAGAAAGACTTGAATATTTTGTTGGAATTAAAGGAACAGCTCTAGACTGGTTTAAATCTATCTGACTGACTGTTACATGTGGAGTGTGTTTGACAAATCTCAAGTTCAAAAAAGAAAAAGTGTTCAACAGCTGTCCTGAGGGTCTCCCTCTGTGTTCTAGGGAAGATGATGACATCAATGATGTGGCCTTTATGGCGGGAGTGAACCTGGGAGAGGAAAATGCTCGGATCTTGACGAGCGCCGTAGGCTCTGTGGTTCAGTCCTGCCAGGATCAGCTCTTCCTTTCTCCTCACGCTTTGCTCAGCAGAATCCTTCACAAAGGTACTGGTCCATCTCTGCTGCTTCTAGAGCTGCTGAACATCAGTGGAAGCAGCTCCCCATATGATGAAAGCCGATCCGGTCGGTTTCACCAATTGGTGGCTTTGAAGTTCTCATTAGAATCATATTATTAAAAGAAGCAAAGTTCCTCCATGCTGAAGTAAAGGACTGACTGCTGCAGGAAGCTGAGATGATCTGGCTGCTCTCTCTCCTTTTAGGACAGCTGCTGGGAGTAATGGAGGTGGGTCCAGAGGTGGTAGCTGTGGTTTCTCATGCTACCCAGGAGCGCCTCCGTACACTGATAGAGAAGCTCAGCGTGATGGCAGAACATCGCACTGTTTCCCTGACGGTACTGTATGCTGAGAGAACGTTTCATTCAGAAGCGTCATCTCGTTTCTTTGCCACTGGAAGGAACACCTGAGTTCACCTGTTGGTTGAGATGATCTGCAGCGACCAAGATGTCTGCTCATAGAGTTAGAACCTCTGGTTAAGCTCAGGTCTGAAAGTTTACCTTAACCAGATCTGAACATGTTCTCCTGATGGAGAATTCTGTTCGTTGGAGTTTTAATCTCCACCTCATGGAGCTGCCAGCCTGAGGGAATATTCCAGAACCACCAACAAACCAGGAGTTGAAGGAGGAGGCGCAAAAATAAAGGAGAACATCCTTTATTGAATGGAGGAGCAGCTGCTTCACCTCAGATGAATAATTTATACCCTGCAAACCCATAGAAACAGCTCAATGAGGGAGTTCCGGCTGGGTCTTGTGATGGGCTAGACGCATTTTTCAGCACTCCCCGAACTTATCACCTCTACTGATTTTTTACTCATTTTCACTCCCAAAAAGTAACCCAGTAACAACCTGCCCTTATTAGGAACAGAATCATGCCTCCAAAGCCAAAGAGAGATGAGCAAGACCGTGAGGATTCAGCTAATGTCGCCGCGTTCACAGCCGTGCTAACAGCTAAGCTAGCGGAGACCAAAAGCGAACTACTAACGGAGATCAAAGACACCTACTCGAGGTACGAGACAAAGCTCATCAGTGTCCAAAACTCTGTTGAAGACCATGACCAACGTATTGCCAGTCTGGAACAATTCGCAAACTCCACCAGTGACGAGCTGACTGGCATGCGGTCTGAGCTAGCTGCGGAGAATACTAAGCTAAAGGCTAAGCTGATCGACCTCGCTGGACGGACCCGCCGTAACAACATAAGAATCGTGGGTCTGCCGGAACAAATAGAAAGTCAGACCAGACCAACGGAGTTCTTTTCCCAACTATTATGTGATGTGCTTGGTGCGGACATTCTGTCTTCACCCCCGAGGCTGGATAGGGCTCACCGCGCGCAGCCTGCTAGGCTAGCAACCACGGGTAGACCACGGCATGTAGTGATCTGCTTCCATCATTTCCAAACCCGGGAGCTGGTTTTGCGGGCTGCCCGACAGCTGCGGGGCAAACTGAAGTATAAAGACACACCTATCCATATCTTTGAGGACTACGCCCCGGAGGTTCTGGAACAACGTACTCAATACCGGGACGTGATGAAGAGGCTGTTCGAGCTAGGCTACAAGCCCGCACTGAGGTACCCTGCTAAGCTAACTGTTGTGCTACCCGACGGATCAAGGAAACTTTTGCCCTCCGTAGAGGAGGCGGCAGACTTTGCATCCCGTCAACATCGACAGAAAGAACCAGAGGCAAACTGACTTTAACTTCCCTAAATGATGATCACGGAGCCATGACTTGAATATTTGCAGCAGCCTGACCATGGCTGTATGTTTCTGTTCAAAGTGTTTCCTCTGTATACTTCGAAGAAGGTTATTGGTTCATAAACATGTTTAAATGTTGAGTAATCCTAGTTTACAGGACTTTGTATTTGTCGTATACCTTTTTGAGTAAATCTTATTTGCTTACTACGTTTCTTATCTATCATTGTTTACTTTTACCTAATTTATTTAGCCATTTTCAATTATTAATATATCTTTTTTATCTACTTATTGAATTTATTTTTAATATTTATTTTTTATTTCTTATTTTTCTACTACAATGCCTCTATTACCGTTGGGGACTTGTTCTGGCGCGCCTAGTTGGGATAAAGAAGGTTTGAATTCATATAATTGTCATCGGAATGCTTTATACATGGCTGGGGGGTTTCCACCTTTTGGACCATGACGAAGTTGGAAGTCTTAATGGTGCTGAACACCACTGTGCAATGGACACTGGTTTTTCATGTATGTATGGGATATTTTGGGCCATGGGGTTTATTCTTATTTCGTTTTTTTTTTTTTTCTTTTTCTTTTCTCCTTCCTCTTCCCTCCGTCTCTCCCCTACTCATGTCTTTTCAGATACCTGCTACTCTACGCCGGGTCCCACCAGGTACATGCTGGAAGCCTCTGTAACATCTCCATAACCTTAAGAATACATGAAACATGACAACAAATGTAAGTACCTCACTTAGACTCGTTTCTTGGAATGTGAAGGGGTTGGGTAATACTGTTAAATTGCAACGTGTAATGACCCATTTAAACCAACTTAAGGGGGATATCTATTTCATCCAGGAGACCCATATGCTTAATAGTCATGTCAAAAGGATTAGGAAACAGTGGACCGGCGACATCTTCCACTCAACATTCAACGGGAAGGCCAGGGGCGCTGCAATAATTTTTCGTAAAGGCGTTCCTTTCATACCAGAGAAATCAGTTCTAGATCCCAATGGCAGATATGTCATGGTCTCTGGAAGGCTTCGAGAAATGCCATTTCTCTTTGTTTGCGTTTATGGCCCTAACTGGGACGACAGCCACTTTATATCTAAACTTTTCTCATCTTTTCCGGATGTCGAAAATCACTATATACTAATTGCAGGGGATTATAACCTGGTCCAGGACCCTTTCTTAGACCGTTCTTTCAATAAACCTGCCCCTCTTACGAAGGCAGCAAAAACTTTACTTGCGTGCTCTCAGCGACTTGGTCTAGTTGATCCTTGGAGACATAAATTTCCTTCCACCAAGGCTTTCTCCTTCTTCTCACATGTTCATCACTCTTACTCCCGGATAGATTTCTTCCTTATGGACCTTAGATTAATCTCAAATTTAGTTTCCACTGACTACCACACCATTGTAATATCAGATCATGCTCCAGTTTCCCTTGACTTGGCACTACCGTACCGGTCAAGCCCATTCAGGCAATGGAGATTCAACTCTGTTCTCTTAGCAGAGGAAAATTATCAAGACTTTATACGTACCCAAATCTCCCTATTTTTCGAACTAAATGACGTGCACAATATTAGTAGAAGTAGCCTTTGGGAGGCATCCAAAGCCTACATGAGAGGCCAACTTATCTCCTACATTTCTAATAAAAAAAAGAACTGAAACTGCCCGCTTTAATGAGCTTTTAAAGGAAATCAAGGAAGTGGATGTACAGTATGCTGCCTATCCGGATCCCGACACTTACAAAAAACGACTCTCCTTACAGACAGAACTTGATCTAATTTCCACTACTTCTGTCAGAACTTCATTGCTTAAATCTAGACAACTTTTCTATGAATCGGGAGATAAGGCCAGCAAACTTCTTTCATATCAGGCTCGGGCTGAGGCATCCTCTCGACTAATACCAGCTATTAATTCCAGCTCTGGTGAAACAACCACTGACCCAAAGGGCATTAATGATGCTTTTGTTGAGTTCTATACCTCTCTTTATACATCCGACCTTCCACCCTCTCCTGATAATGTATTAGATAAAATCAACTTTCCTTGCGTTACTGAAGAACAGGCAGATCGACTCGGGGCCCCAATTACTACATTAGAGGTACAGGAGGCTATAGGTTGTCTTCAAGGATCTAAATCACCCGGACCCGATGGATTTACCACTGAATACTATAAAGCTTTTTCCACTTTGCTTAGCCCTTTTCTTAAAGAGATGTACAACGAGGCCTTTTCTTTGGGCCGGCTCCCCGGTACCCTGTCGGAGGCTACGATCTCGTTGCTCCTTAAGAAGGACAAAGATCCTTTATCGTGTAGCAGCTATAGGCCCATTTCCTTGTTGAACGTGGATTTTAAAATCTTAACTAAAGTGCTGGCATTACGCTTACAGCAGATTCTACCCTCAATTATCGATCTAGATCAAACGGGCTTCATGCCCGGGAGGCAGTCCTCATGCAACACCAGGAGGCTTTTCAATATCATCACTTCCCCTAATACTACAATCCCTGAAGTCGTTGTGTCCCTCGACGCCGAGAAGGCCTTCGACAGGGTTGAATGGAGCTTTTTGTACAAGGTACTGACAAAATTTGGATTAGGCAAGACCTTTGTTGATTGGGTAACACTTCTGTACTCTTCACCAAAAGCTTCAGTACGGACTAATGATGTTATCTCTTCCTCTTTTCCTTTAAGCCGGGGTACCAGACAGGGCTGTCCCCTGTCTCCACTCTTGTTTATTTTAGTGATCGAGCCCCTAGCCCTCTGGCTGCGTGCGGAGGCCTCCTTTAAGGGCATAACAAGATTTGATATAGTCAATAAAGTTTCGTTATATGCAGATGACCTTTTGTTGTATGTTTCAGATCCTATTTCTTCCATCCCCGCCGTCCTACACATTCTTAACGATTTTGGCACCATATCAGGATACAAACTTAATTATCAAAAAAGCGAACTTTTGCCTATTAATGATGCCGCTAAAAAACTCCCTCCCTCAACAGTACCGTTTCGCTGGTCTAATAATGGTTTCCGATACTTGGGTATTCAAATTGTGCTATCTCTTCCCGACCTATATAGAGTTAACCTTACTCCTTTGGTGGAGAGGACAGAAGCTGACTTCACTCGCTGGTCAACTTTACCTATCTCGCTCGCTGGCCGAATAAGCTTAGTGAAGATGGTGGTTCTTCCCAAATTTCTTTATATGTTCCAACATCTTCCACTTTTTCTAAATAAGTCATTTTTTGCAAAATTGGACACAATGATTTCAAGTTTTTTATGGGCTGGGAGGCCTGCCAGAATTCGTAGATCGGTTTTACAGTCCCCCAGGGAGAAAGGAGGATTTGCCCTCCCAGTTTTTAGATATTACTATTGGGCTGCAAATGCACAGAAGTTGCTGTTTTGGATAAAGGAGGAGGACCCCTTGCCAGTCTGGGTACAGTTGGAGAGGAAATCCTGCCCGTTCTCACTCCGTTCAGTCTTGTGCTCACAACTCCCTTTACAACGTTTAACTACTTGCCCTGTCGCGTCCACTTCTTTGAAAATATGGAATCAGTTTAGGAAACAGCTTGGTCTCTCAAACCCATCCGCCCTGACATCATTGTTTAAAAACTGTATGTTTGAACCGTCCCGAGATTTAGGATATAAAATCTGGCATGACAGTGGTATCAAGTCAATAGCAGATCTCTATTCTGAAAACATTTTCTCCTCTTTTGAACAGTTGTCTGTCAAATACAATCTTCCAAAACACCACTTTTTTCGCTTTTTCCAGGTTCGTGACTATGTTAAGAAGTTGTTCCCTTATTTTCCAAATCGCCCTCCAGAAACCCTATTAGACTCTCTTCTCGTAATTGATCCTAATCTTAGAGGATGCATTTCGACACTTTATAAGCTTATCTGGTCAGAAACCTCAGCACCCGCAAACGCAGTTAAAACAGCTTGGGAAGAGAGTCTTAACATTGTATTCACAGAACAACAATGGACATCTGCACTGTCTTTAGTTCACTCATCTTCTATCTGTGCCCGTCATAGACTTATTCAATGCAAAGTTGTTTACAGGGCTCATTACACTAACTCACGACTAGCAAAAATTTATTCTTCTGTAAATGAAGCCTGTGGCAGATGTAAACTCTCGCCTGCCAATCATTCACACATGTTTTGGTCATGTCCCGAGTTGATACCATTCTGGAGAGGGATTTTTAATTCACTGTCTGAAGCATATGGTTCTCTGGTTATCCCCAATCCACTGTCTGCAATCTTTGGTATCCCCCCTACCTCTAACCTGCCTAAAGGAATGAACCGGGCTATAGCATTTACCACGCTTTTAGCTCGTAGGCTGATCCTACTTAACTGGAAGGACCCACAACCCCCTTCACATACCCGCTGGATTCGAGAGGTGCTTTACAATCTCAAAATAGAGAAACTGAGGTTTTCTCTCAGAGGCTTCACCAAGCCATTTCAAGCTACATGGGACCCTTTTTGTAGATATTTTGACTCCTTGAATCTTCTTGACCCTGACGACAATTGAATATCTTACATGCTCTCTAATTACCTATTTATATATACATTCATGTCTCCTCCCCCCCTTTCTTTTTTTTTATTTATTTTATTTTTTTTTTTAAACCTGTTTTTCTCTTTATAATTCTTATTATTTATACTTTTATTTATTTATTATTATTTATTTATTATTTTTTTTTACTTTTTATTTTTTAATTTATTTGTTTATTGATTTATTTTCTGGCCTGTGGGTGGGGTGGGTGGTCAGGGGGTTTGGGGGTTGACAGACCGTGACATTGAGTTTGTATTGATGCTTTACCTGTTCCAACAATGTCTGTCCTAAGTTTAAAATGTTCAATAAATAAAGTTTGAAAAAAGAAACAGCTCAATGAGAAGTTTTAAAACCCTCTGATTTGTACTCTGTTGGTCCTCATTTGGCAGTGTGTCCAGCCTTCAGTCATCTTGGTTCTGATGCCTCTGGTCTCTTTGGTGTTGATGCCTCTGGTCTCCTTGGTCCACCTGCCTCTGGTCTCCTTGGTCCTCCTGCCTCTGGTCTCCTTGGTCCTGATGCCTCTGGTCTCCTTGGTCCTGATGCCTCTGGTCTCCTTGGTCCTCCTGCCTCTGGTCTCCTTGGTCCTGATGCCTCTGGTCTCCTTGGTCCTCCTGCCTCTGGTCTCCTTGGTCCTGATGCCTCTGGTCTCCTTGGTCCTGATGCCTCTGGTCTCCTTGGTCCTGATGCCTCTGGTCTCCTTGGTCCTCCTGCCTCTGGTCTCCTTGGTCCTCCTGCCTCTGGTCTCCTTGGTCCTCCTGCCTCTGGTCTCCTTGGTCCTGATGCCTCTGGTCTCCTTGGTCCTGATGCCTCTGGTCTCCTTGGTCTTGATGCCTCTGGTCTCCTTGGTCCTGATGCCTCTGGTCTCCTTGGTCCTCCTGCCTCTGGTCTCCTTGGTCCTCCTGCCTCTAGTCTCCTTGGTCTTGATGCCTCTGGTCTCCTTGGTCCTCCTGCCTCTGGTCTCCTTGGTCCTCCTGCCTCTGGTCTCCTTGGTCCTCCTGCCTCTGGTCTCCTTGGTCCTCCTGCCTCTGGTCTCCTTGGTCCTGATGCCTCTGGTCTCCTTGGTCCTCCTGCCTCTGGTCTCCTTGGTCCTCCTGCCTCTAGTCTCCTTGATCTTGATGCCTCTGGTCTCCTTGGTCCTCCTGCCTCTGGTCTCCTTGGTCCTCCTGCCTCTGGTCTCCTTGGTCCTCCTGCCTCTGGTCTCCTTGGTCCTCCTGCCTCTGGTCTCCTTGGTCCTTATCCATTCCTATGAGATCTTGGCTGGGTTTTTCAGGTCTTTTGTTCAGTCTGAGGAAGACTTTCAGTTTTAGGTCCAATCATCTGAATCTACCAAAGGTGGATCCATCGAACCTGTAGAAACATCTGGAGGACGATCAGTGGAAACAGAATGACCTTCAGCTCACTTTGTAGCTTCATGATAAAGGGTGTGAATACTTATGGAAAGGTGATTTCTTAGGTTTGTGTTCTTTAAGCTTTGATCAATCTAAAACAGTTTTCTATGTTATGATGATGGGTTGTTCTGTGTGGTTTGGAGCAACGGCCCGGTCCTGCAGTTCCACTATCTAAATGACTGGTTAACTGCCAGGACTCTGCTAAACGTACCGACAGGCTGAGGAGGTAACTCTGCCTTTTATTTCAGCGGGAATGCATGGAAAAGCTGCAGGACGGTGGCCCTTAAGGACCAAGAAGGCCTATCTCTGATTTAGAGGATGAAGATTAATGTTGGTTCCACAGAATCTGTGGAGAGACCAGAATATTCTGGAAGGAGGAGTGGTCTGCAGACGCTGAAGGTTGCTGTCTGGGTCTTCAGTGCTGGATCTTAGGAGAAGCTGGTTTCTGCTAAAATGGCCGACAGCAAAGATAAACATATCAGACTGTTGGGTCACGTCCGTGAGCAGGCCACCATTTCCTCAGCCCAGTTGCACCAGTTTACCAGCTGTTTGTGGGAACTGGTTTAGTTCCAGGCTGAATGAGTGGACGGATCCTGGTTTTATTTCCTCCAGGACTGGATGCTAATCCACCATTTCCCCATCGTGGCACAATAAAGGGATTTTGTCTTCTATTGTAATCTGATGATATGACTACAACCCCTGGCAAAAAGTATGGAATCACCAGTCTTGGATGAGCACTCATTCAGACATTTCATGCTGTAAAACAAACTCAGATCAAAAACATGATACAATATTAAGGTCGTTCCAAAGTGCAACTTGTTGGCCTTCAGGAACACTCAAAGAAATGAAGAGAAAACATTGTGGAAGTCAGTGAATGATACTTTTATTGACCAAACACAGGGAAATAAATATGGAATCACTCAATTCTGAGGAAAAAAGTATGGAATCACTCAAATTGGAGGTAGAAAAAAAAGGACACACCCAGTCTATTTCCTTTCCCTAAATGGACACCTGCCCCAGATTGGATGTGCCCGTTAGTGTGCAGTTCAAAACACCTGCAGTCATGACACCTTGGAGGGCTGCTGGACCAAGTGGAGTGGTGAGAACCATGGCTCCAACAAGAGAAATGTCCCTTGAAACAAAAGAGAGGATTGTGAAACTTCTTGAAGAAGGTAACCCTTCACGCATGGTTGCTAAAGATGTGGGCTGTTCACAGTCAGCTGTATCCAAGATATGGACCAAATACAAACAGCATGGAATGGTTGTTAAAGCCAAGCGTACTGGTAGACCAAGAAAGACATCAAAGCGTCAAGACAAACAACTTAAGGCCATTTGTCTTGAAAACCGAAAAAGTACAACTAAACAGATGAAGCATAAATGGGAGGAAGTTGGAGTCAATGTATGTGACCGAACCGTAAGAAATCGCCTAAAGGAGATGGGATTTCAATACAGGAAAGCTAAACGAAAAGCAGCATTGACACCTAAACATAAAAGAACGAGACTCCAATGGGCTAAGGAGAGGCAATCATGGACTGTGGATGACTGGATGAAAGTTGTCTTCAGTGATGAGTCAAGAATCTGCATTGGACAAGGTGATGATGCTGGAACTTTTGTTTGGTGCCGTTCCAGTGAGATTTATGAAGAGGCCTGCCTGAAGAAAACAACCAAATTTCCACAGTCCTTGATGATATGGGGCTGCATGTCAGGCAAAGGCACTGGGGAGACGACTGTGGTTAATTCTTCTATCAATGCACAAGTTTACATTGACATTTTGGACAGTTTTCTCATCCCTTCAATTGAACAGATGTTTGGTGATGATGAAATAATTTTCCAAGATGACAATGCATCGTGCCATCGGGCAAAAACAGTGAAGGCATTCCTTGAAGAAAGACACATTCAGTCGATGTCATGGCCTGCAAATAGTCCAGATCTCAACCCAATTGAAAACCTGTGGTGGAGATTGAAAAAAATGGTCCACAAGAAGGGTCCAACCAGCAAAGCTGATCTGGCAACTGCTATCAAAGAGAGTTGGCACCAAATTGATGAAGAATACTGTTTGTCACTCATCAAGTCCATGCCTCAAAGACTGAAAGCTGTTATAAAAGCCAAAGGTGGTGCAACTAAATACTAGTGATGTATTTTGAATGGTCTTTTGTTTATGCGTTTTTCATGATTCCATACTTTTTTCCTCAGAATTGAGTGATTCCATATTTATTTCCCTGTGTTTGGTCAATAAAAGTATCATTCACTGACTTCCACAATGTTTTCTCTTCATTTCTTTGAGTGTTCCTGAAGGCCAACAAGTTGCACTTTGGAACGACCTTAATATTGTATCATGTTTTTGATCTGAGTTTGTTTTACAGCATGAAATGTCTGAATGAGTGCTCATCCAAGACTGGTGATTCCATACTTTTTGCCAGGGGTTGTAGATATTGGAGAGCGTTGATGTGGACAGACCTCAGAGGCTTAAACCTGAACCACGTCTGTTCTTCTGACACCAGGAGGATCCCTGGCACTGCAAGGTGAATGAGGTTCGCACTCAGCTACGCTTCCTGGAAGAGACGGAGATGTTAAAGAAGAAAAGGAGAGATGCTGTGGAGAGAGAGAAGCTCCTGCGTCTGGCAAAGGTAAACAGCTTCTATTCCTGATTCTCCAAATGAAGAACCGTCTTTAAATGTTTCTCAATGCAGTTATTTTAATGTTTTATTTTATAATCCTAAAATCACAGTATTTGTCAACAAGATTTAAGGAGTGGGTCACGTGACGCTGATGGCGGAGTAGCTGTGTTTCTCGTGCGCTCCCGCAGCTTGGCATTTGTTCAGGTTTTGGTTTGGGTTTAACTTGATCAAAGTTAGCTTTTATCTCAGCTTTTAATTGTTGCGACATGCCTAGTACTCAGAAAAAGCTCAACCTTGCAACTAAATCGGTAAAAACGGGGAAAAACCAGCCCCCTCCGAGTGATGGTGTTTCTCCTGTAATGGCGGACGTTCCGTCCTCTTCACCCCTCGGCCAAGTGGACACCGACAAGTTGGTGGAAATGATAACCGCGGAGGTGCTGAAAGGTGTGGAAGCCTCGTTTGTGAAGAAGATTGATCCCGTTTTGCAAAGACTGGAAGCATTTTCATCTAATATAGCCGCGCTGGATGCTAAAATGAAAGAGGCCGAGGGGCGCATATCAACCCAGGAGGATACTACAGCTATTCACCATGCTAAACTTTCTGAAGTTGAGCTCAAGCTAGAAGCTGCTTTGGACAAGATTGATGATTTAGAGATTAGGAGCCGACGGTGAAATATACGTATTATTGGGCTCCCCGAAGGCAGTGAAGGTACCAACCCAGTGTCTTTTTTTAGGACTGGGTTACCGCAGTTGGTGGGTGTGAGTTTCAAGGGCGACGCCGTTAAACTGGACGGCTGTCACCGCACGCTCGCCCGCCTTCTTCACCCCTGTGGCACTGGCCCCGCGCAGTCATCATAAAACTACATTATTTCCAGGATAAAATTCGTGCAGTCTTTAATCTACAACGGCGCCCCCATTATGATATTTGAGGATTTCTCTGCTGCGGTCGTAAAGAAGAGGCAGGGATTCTACCAAGCTAAACTACGTCTGAGAGAGATGGGGATTTCATTCGCCATGATTAACCCGGCCGTCTTCAGGATTAAGCACAATGGCGAGGAGAGATCTTTTAGAGCACCGGGAGCCGTTGCAGCCTACTTGGACAAATCGTCACAGAATGCAGGATCTCCCTCAGTAGCGGTGGCTGACTGATGGATTCTCACTATGTTGCTTGAATGGGTTTCAGCAATCTGGTTTTTGGTTCACAATGTAAGGTAATTGACAAAGACTGCTGAGTTGTTATTATTATTGACATTTGCCTACTTTTCTATAGCTAAACGTTTACTTTATTTTGTAGGCCCATTATATAGAATGCTACTTTGATAAAGCTGCGGGTTGGCAGCAATTTTCATGTTACTGATTTTTAATAAAAGATTTTTACCCTGGTCCAGCATCTTCCTCTGTTCTAGTTGGAAAGTGTGTTTGTGCCCCATGTTGGGTGATGGAGACCTTTGTCTGACCTCTATGTTCATTTACCTTTTGAGGTTCATATATTTTGTAAATAGTTTTGCGTTAACTCTTATAGCGAAGCAGGTCCTCGGTTTTTCCTATTTTACGTGCATTTTTCTTATCACCTGTGCCTTAGTTTTTTTTTTTTTTTTTTTGAGCCCAGAACATCTGTATCATGGTTATTGCCACTTAGGTTTGTATCAGTGTCTACACTTAATGCAGAATGATTAATGATAACGCAGTGTTGAATGTTTGTTCTTGGAATGCGGGAGGTATACACAACCCTATTAAACAGTTAAAACGTGATTGGGTTGGTCAGGTGTTTAGTTCTTATTTTACGAGTAAGAGTCGTGGGGAGGCCATCCGAATACATAAGCACCTGCCACTGATGAACGCACAAACAATTAGTGATCTGTCTGGTAGATACATATCTTTAAAGGGCACCTTACATGGACAGTCAGTGTCATTTCTGAATATTTACTTTCCACCAGTACAGTCTAATGACTTCATTTCTCATGCTTTTTCCTCCTTTTCTGATTGGGTTTGTGATAACTCAGTGTTAGCTGAAGATTTTAACTGTTATTTTTATTCTATTATGGACAAATCTCCATCTAGACAGTCTCAAATTTCTAAAAGGGCCAAAGCACTTTTGGACACCTGTAACGAACTTGATCTTGTTGAAACCTGCGGGCACTTCGCCCTAATGATAAAGAATTTCCATTCTTTTCTGGTTTTCATAAAACAAGTAGCAGAATTGATCTGATTTTCACTCCCAAACTGTCACTGGGTAATATTAGTAGTTGTAGAATTGGAGATATTCTTATATTCAATTCAATTCAGTTTATTTATATAGCACCAAATTCACAACACAAGTCATCTAAGGTCACTTTCCAGTTCAACCAGATCATCCAGTCAAATTGATTCAAAGTTTTCTATCTAAGGAAAACCAGTTGATTGCATATATCAGACCATGCACCGGTTTATGTACAGTTAAGTAATTTCAATGCTGCCCCTCGGTATCAGACTTGGAGATTTAATAATATTTTGATTCAAGGCACTAATTTCAAAAAATTTTTAAATGAACAGCTGGAGCACTTTTTAAAGATAAATGCAGCTCCTGATTTTTCTTCCGGCCTACTGTGGGACACTTTGAAAGCTTATACCCGTGGACTAATTATATCATATTCCGATGGCCTAAAGAAGAAGAATCAGCTGGAGCAAAGAAAATTAGAACTTGTGCTGCATGATCTCCAGATTAGATACAATGAGTCACCTTCTGAACAACTAGGGAATGAAATCCAGGTGGTCAAAACTTCTTTGGAGGGGGCTGCTAACGAAGAGGGCTGAGAAATCTATGTTTTTCATGAGGCAAAGGCTGTACGAACTTTCCAACAAACCTCCTTTGGAAAAAGGCACCTTCTCATAATATCCCATGTGTTAAAGATTCATCTGGTTTGCTTAAATATGACATTACAGAAATTAACAACAGGTTTAAATCTTTTTATAAGCAGTTATATACCTCTCAGTTTAAATCCTTACACATACAGGATATGCTAAATTGTTTTCCAGATTAAACGTACCTAAAATTACTGAAACCCAGAGGGATGAGCTATGCAGGCCTATAACACAGAGTGAAATTTTGAAAATAATTCATCTGCTTCCAAACAACAAAGCTCCCAGTCCCGATGGCTTCAGTGGGGAATAAAAAAAAAAAAATTAAGCAAAATTCTAATCTGGCAACTATTTGAAATGTTTCAATCCTCATATGCTGTTGGTGCTCTCCCTCCATCCTTAATGGAGGCTAATATCTCATTAGTTTTGAAAAAAGGGAAAGCCCCGGAAGACTGTGCCTCTTACAGGCCTATATCGGTTTTAAACCTTGACCTGAAAATACTATCCAAGATCCTGGCCATACGTTTAGAGAGTATGCTGCCCTCTATTGTTAAGAATGACCAAACCGGGTTCATCCAGGGACGGTGTTCCACACAATGTTAGACATTTGCTCAACATAATTCGGCACTCATCTATGTTCGGTCCGGAGGCTTTACTTATTTCTCTTGATGCTGAGAAAGCCTTCGACCGCTTAGAATGGCCATATCTGTTTTTTAAACTTCAGCAATTTGGTTTAGGTGATGGCTTTGTGAAATGGATACAGATTTTATATATGTCTCCTTTTCTGTCATTACTAATGGTTACAGATCAGAGAATTTGCGTATTGGTCGTGGTAGTCAGCAGGGATGTCCGTTGAGTCCTCTGTTATTTGCTCTGGCTATGGAGCCCCTTGCAGCAGCAATTAGACAAGATGCAAGTATTGAAGGACTCTTTTTAAATAATTGTCAACATAAAATTTCACTTTATGCTGATGATGTATTGATTTTTCTAAACTCCCCTTCACACTTGATTCCTAAAATTACTCAACTGATTTTACATTATGGCTCTTCCTCAGGCTATAAGATAATTTTTTTTTAAAGCGAGGCTATGCCTTGTTCTGGTATACATGGGATTGACTCAAATATTTCCCAGCCTTAACGATGGTCACCGTCAGGTTTCACCTATTTAGGAATAAAAATTTCACCGAACCTAAAAGATTTATACAATCTAAACTACACTCCTTTAGTTCAATCTATCAATCGTGATTTAGAAAGGTGGGGCAGCCTCCCTCTGTCTCTTTTGGGTCGTATACACATAGTTAAAGTGAACATTCTACATAGTGTTAATTTTACCATTTTTAAATTTAGTTTCAGTTTTAGTCCAGTTTCAGCATTTCTTGTTAGTTTTTATCACATTTAGTCGACATCAGCCCATTTTACTTAGTCTAGTTTTAGTCGACTATAAGTCAGAGCATTCTAGTCTTTATTTTAGTCCAAGAACACATAATTTTTATTCGTTTAGTTTTAGTCAACAAAAACCGTCAACATTTTAGTCTAGTTTTAGTCAGGACATAACCTTTTACTTTTTGTCAGCAGATAATATTTAACATTTCCTAAAGGTATTTCACATTTCAACATTTTCTCATCTTTTTGATAAAAAAAACACATTTTAAGGAACACATGCAGACATGGAAGATTTTCTGAATATATTTGCATATTTATTTTGAACATTGTTAAGGTTCAAAGACACAAACACAAATGCTTGCATTAAAAAAAATAAAATACACCTGACAAAGGAAACAAATAAAATAAAATCTCTTATGAACTTTACACAAGTGCTGGCTGTTTAAAGCTAGTTCACAGAGAATAATAAAATAAATAGATTGAGGTCAATGTTGTGAAAAAAAACCTCCAACTGATAGAACAAAGTGCTTTCCTGCCAGGTAGTTCACATGGTTTATAAAGGTAGAGTATTTAAGGTGAAACAAGGCATAGCTTGCTGGTCCTGAGAGTCAGCTTTGTATTTGGTGTTAGCAATTAAGGAAGCTTGTATAGCTGGCCTGTCATTGTTTCTGGGTGGTTGTTGGTGAATCTTCAGTCTGGAACAGAAATTAATACAATGTCAGGATAGATGCACAGCATAACAGGAATTCCAAGGGTATAAGTAGCATATAGGTCTGTTTTTTTCCTTAACAAAAACTAAGTCTCTGTAAAAACTACATTTGACAATCCATTTCAAACTCATACAAACAACCTAACTATCATTTAATGCAGGAATAAATTGCAGACATTTTTATGTGTGCATGCATTTTGGTTGTATTAATATTAATTAATATTTATGTTTGCATCCCAATCCCTGCAGTGGTTCCCCTAGCAATGACTATTTTGTGTATGAAAATCTAGGTTAAAGTTGTTCTGAATTATGTGTGGCATATTATTTTTATTTTGTCTTATCCTTATAAATTGTTTCAGTTGGTTTTAGCATACATGTGTAGCTGCTGAGGTGTTTTGTGTTAACTATAGTTCACTTGCAGCTTCTAGATTACCCAAAACGTCTGTCTGCTTTAATCAAACTTGCAAAGTTGCCCGGCCAGTATAACATATTCAATTCAATTCAATTCAGTTTATTTATATAGCGCCAAATTCACAACACATGTCATCTCAGGGCACTTTACAGTTCAACCAGATCATACAGTCAAATTGCTACAAAGTTTTCTATCTAAGGAAAACCAGCTGATTGCATCGACTCATTGACTCTTCAGCAATCCCTCACACTAAGCATGCTTGTAGCGACAGTGGAGAGGAAAAACTCCCTTTGAACAGGAAGAAACCTCCAGCAGAACCAGGCTCAGTGTGAGCGGCCATCTGCTGAGGCCCACTGGGGTTCAAGGAGACAGAAGCAGACATAGAAAAAGAAGCATAGATACAAAAGGCAACTGTCAACCAGCTCCACAGGCGGCCCCGTCCAGGAAACACACAGCCAGGCAGACGAGCTCCGAGCCAGCTCCCATGTCAGAGGATGAAGAGAGCACATCCAGTTAGTCACAGTCAGAGAAACAGGACTACACTGGAAAACAGGCCAAGCTCCAACATCTAGAAACAAAGGTGTTGATGGCAGCAGCACAGCTGATATTTCTCTCCAGGATGGAGTCACAGCCAAACAGGAACAGACCAGATGAAGCTACTATGAGAAAAAGCAGAGAGAGCAGAACGTTAGAGATTGAACTAACAGATTCTGCAGAGTGGGAGAATAGAGATAGAATGAAGCAGAATGATGAAAAAGGGGTCCCTATGTCCTCCAGCAGTCTAAGCCTATAGCAGCAGAACTATAGAGATAGATCAGGATAACCTGAGCCACTCTAACTAGAAGCTTTAAGCTTTAACATATCTAAGTTAGCATAAATTTAACTTCACATACAATTCTATCAACAAGTGTCTACGGTCGCTACGTGCTAACAAGCTAACGTATCGTAGCCAGCCTGGATACTAAATGCTATGAAAGTTAGCCAACATTAGTTAGTTTATCATTGGGACATTATAGCCGTTGATGATTAATGTTACATTATAAACAACCACCACCAATCTTTCTGTTAAGGCTACTCTGTGCCGCCCACTCCAGGTTTGAAAGTGGGTGTGTGGCGGAGGAGCGGACGAGGAGGAGGAGGAGGAGGAGGAAGAGACAGGATTTGAAAAAACCCATAAAATAATAATATGTAATTTTCGTCTTTGTTCCTGAACTAAAATGTCCATAGATTTTAGCCCAGTCTTTATTTACTGAACTGCATTTTCGTCTCGTCTTTATTAGTCCACGAAAATTAATTCTGATTTACTCCCAGTTATTGTTCATTAGTGGGGATTTTCATCTCATCTCGTCTAGTTTTCATTCGGTGAAAAATGTGCGTTGACGAAAATATTTTCGTTTAGTTTTCGTTAACGAAATTTACACTACTTCTGTACCTATTTCAGATGTTGTCTCTTGTTTTGTCTAAAAGGGTCTTATCACAATTGAATGGTTCAATTATTTCATTCATTTGGAATAAGAAAAGGTGCAGATTAAGATATAGTTATCTTTGCTTACCTGTACGGAAAGGGGGTCTTGCTGCTCCTTCCCTTTCGTTATACCTTTGGGCAGCTCAGTTTAAATTTCTTATGGAATGGTTTATCAGCGATTCTGACTCCATTTATCTTAGAGCTGAGGCCACGCTATTAAAGGGCATTTATTTGTGGAACTTACTGTACACATCCACTGAGAAAGCATCAGTACTCATTCAAAACAATATGGTTTTAAAGAATATGATTGCTATCTGGCGAAGGGTCAGGCGGTTGAAAGGATACAGTAACTGCTTTTCCCTTCTTACTCCTATTCAAGATAATCCTGACTTTTCTCCTGGTCTTGAAGGTGGTTTTACAGACTGGTCTATAAAAGGGATTAAAAAGGTTGGCGACATGGTTCATGAGGGCTCTCTTCTTAGATTTGATCAGGTGAGAGTTAAGTATGGTCTTACTAATAAGGATTTCTTTAAGTACTTTCAGGTGAAGAGCTTTATCATTTCTAAATGGAAAGAGTATAATGGGGGATTGGCTGTCTCCCCTATTGGATCACTGATGTTAAAGACCACGCAACTGAAAGGTATAATTAAAAAGATTTATAATATCTTATGTGATCTTAAAACTGATAACTCTAACACAGTTAAGGGCCTGTGGGAAGTAGACCTAGGCACTATAGAGTCTGAGGCCTGGGAAGAGTTGTGTAGTCGACCTTTTTAGGCCTTAGCTTCAAATTCTACCTGGGAGAGACAATTTAAAATCCTTCATAGGCTATATATCACACCTGAGATGAGACAGAATGTTTCCAGCGTTATCAAATCTTTGTAACAAATGTCAGTCTGCTGTTGGTTCTTTGTTCCATTGCCTGTGGAGTTGTCCTCATATTCTGCAGTTCTGGGAATCTGTTATAGACGAATTACGTTTAATATTTAGGTACCAACTGCAATTGGGTTCAAGAACGTGTCTGTTGGGTCTGAATGATGAAATGCCAGATAACTTTCGTATCAAAGAGCTTCTGCATATATTGTTACACTGTGCTCTAAAGTGTATCATGGTGTCGTGGATTTCTGATAAAGCTCCCTCTATAAACCAGTGGACACAGACTGTATTAAGCATTATCCCAATGGAGGCCTTTTCTACGGCGTTGAAAGACAAACTATTTCTTTTTTACCGGACATGGAACCCTTTTTTTGGACAACTTGGATGCGCCTGCAGCTCAGAGAATGAGACTGGGTTTATTGGATCTAGCTTGGCAACAAGAGGACAATTTGTAGTGTTATGTTTGTTTGTTTGTTTTTTTTCTGCTTTTGGGCTCCCTTTATTTATTTAATTATTTTATTCATTTATTTACTTATTTATTTTTGTTTATGTGTGTATATCCTTCTCCTATGTATGTAGAGTGTTTCATTTTTTATGTTTTCCTGCTTTGCAAAAAAGTTCAATAAAAAAAAAAAAACAAGATTTAAGGAGTTATATCTGTTTAATTTCTTTTATTCTCTGTATTGTTCACTATTAAATTCTTTCTGTTGTGTTTTTTAGGTAGAAAATGTTAATATGTGTGGTGGAAAAATAGTCTCTTGATTAATCCTGATTATTATATATATAATTAATCTACACTGTCTAATAAATCAATGAAGTCTTTAACAAATGATTGTGGAAAATTCAGAGGAGGATATTTGTCCACTCTAGCATTCAGTGCAAACCTGTCATGAGCTGAAACATTAAACAATAGAAAGAATTCAATGTACATTTTCTCTGATTCTGTTCAATCTGCTTTGGTAAATTTATTATTCCAGTGGATTAAAATGATCAAAAAAGGTAGAAATCTTGTTTCCATGGAAGTTTATTGGTTCTGGGTTTAAAGTTCTTGGTGTCTGGAAAGGCTGAAGCTAATCTGGTGTTCATGGTGCCAAACCAAACCTGAGCTGTAAGCAGCTGATTGATTGATTAGTTCTGCCTGTGACCACAGAGCCGCTCCCAGACTGAGGATCCTGGACTGCAGCAGCTGAAGCAGAGAGCCAGAGAGGTCAGTACACCATCAGCCCAACATCCAGCCTGGCACGGCTTAGCGAAGGCAGCGGCGGCCTGATTGATGGGATGTTTGTCTCGTTGTGTCCACAGATGAAGCAGCTGGAGGAAGCTCAGCAGCAGCACCGAGATGCTAACCTCACCGCTCTGGCTGCCATCGGGCCCCGCAGGAGGAGAGCAGCAGATCAGCCCAGCGGTCAGGTTAGGAACACGGCCTGTTGGCTCAGACCCAATGATGAAGGTAGATGAGAGGAGCGTAAGGGTGGGAGAACTTTCTGATACTTCTGGGGGATTCTCTGGAGGTCAAAGGATCAGTGGCTGGTAGGCATTGCTCATTCTATCGATCCATTCAGTTAGCGAACAGTTCAGAGCCGTTATCAGTGGCGTTGAATCTGAAGCTTCTAGCTAACAAGCCTTTAGACTCGGAGTTCATTAGAGTCGTAATCAGATCAGCGGTTGAACTCATGCGGCCTAACCACGCTCCACTGCTCATCAACAGCTCAGCTGTAGAGGTGGTCAGCATCACAGACACCCTCACCTGGACTGGAAACACCACCTCACTGGTCCAAAGGGCCCAGAAGCGCTTGGACTTCCTACCCCCCCCATCCTCCCCACCTTCTCCAGAAGCACCATAGAGAGCGTCCTGCCCCCCCATCCTCCCCACCCTCTCCAGAAGCACCATAGAGAGCGTCCTGCCCCCCCCATCCTCCCCACCTTCTCCAGAAGCACCATAGAGAGCGTTCTGAGCAGCTGTCTCACTGTGTGGTGTGGAGGCTGCAGCGCCTCAGACTGGAAGAAGGTGAGAACAGCAGAGAGGATCATGGGGGCTCCTCTTCCCTCCATTAAAGACATTTCATCCCAGCGCTGCGTGTCCCGAGGACTGGAACACGTCTCAGAGTAAAACCCATCCACTTTTCTTTTTGATGCTTTAATGAGGTGCTGTGCTCGGGCCAGTAGGTAGATATGGAGAAACTTGAATTAATGCTGAAGTTAATCTGTGCTGGTTATAGGAACTCGGGTTTAATGGTTGAAATAAGTTGCTGTTAAAGCTGCAAGTGATATTTCTGTCTTCCTTTCTTTCTATCCTGCTTTCCTTCTCTTTCTGCTTTAAGGTAGTTTATAGAGAATTTGCTCACATTGAACCGCGTGTGGTCACATGGTTGATGACCAATTGTTACATGCTGACCCCCCATCACATGAAGAGGGAGGTCTCTCACACACACACACACACACACACATTTACACCCCCCCACAAAACACACACACAGTCCTGTTTATGCCACGTTGCTGAACAACTTCTGCTGTTGCTGTTAAAGCATTTGAACCATTTATCATTTTAAGCTGAATGTATTTTATGTAGTTTTAATTGCACTGTTGTTCTCATCATACCTGCTCCTATTCCAAACGGACATTATTGAATGCATTAACATCTAGTCTATCTTGGATAATCTCAGAAGCCAGTTAAACGAACTCTTTGGGTTTTATTCTTTTTCTTTTAAACTAGTCACTTAGTCTACCTCATGTTTATTTTCTAATAGCGTGTAGATATTAGATTTCTATAATCCTGGATTATTAGAATAAAGATGTCATTGTTTAATTTGCAGTTGTTTGTGATTCATATACGGATGGTTTATCACTCAGGCCAGATCCACCCTCTTTTCTTAATAGTGTGAATAAACAGAGATAAATAGATCTTTGATTGATAATTAATGGCTCTGCTGATAAACTAGCCTAAGTCACTAAATTGGTGGAATACCTGGATTTTATCAGCCGGTCCAGGAACCATCCAGAGGTGAAAGGCATAAACCCTGGTAAGTGAGTAAATTAAAGCTACAATTATTCAACTAAGAACCCTAAACTGATTTCACCTCCGATTTTGAATAAGTTAAATAATTAACTATAACTCCAGTTCTAGTTCATTATTTATTAATTATCTGCAGGATATTATTTTGCACAACAAGGAGGTCACCAGAAATCCTCCAACGGCTGTTTATTGAGTTCAAGCTAGTGGCTGAGCTTTAAACCTTGGGCAGGTTGTTCTCTGTAGCCGACCTGTTCCCCTTAGAGAACCAGATACTCTACATTGCACTAGTGGTGGGGGGGTTTTGGATGGACTGACCTGAGGTTCTGCTCTGCTTGTTTGCCAGGTGTCACTGCTGCCCAGAGGGGGGGTTCAGAGGGGGCCTCGTGTGATGCTGAAGGACCTGCTGATGTGCATGGAGCAGGATCCCTCCCTACGCCACACCCTGAGGCTCTACAGGGCCATGCTTTGACTCCAGAGGGATGATGGCTGGTCTACGTTGGATGGTCTTTGTTCTGCGTCTGACTCTTTTTGTTTTAGGCTCAACGTCTCTGAGCCAAACGGCTCATTTTCTGCCTCCAGTTTTCAGTTTAGTTAGAGAGAAAAGGCATGTTTATGTTCTGTGATGATAATAAATTGTAAAAGACGGTGAGTTGAAGTTCCTTTTTTTTCCACAACAAAGTGAAGCTAAAACTGCAGTTTGAGGAGTTCTGGGAACTAAGAAGGGCAGAAGAATCCTAAAGGTCCCAGATTGTGCAGAATTCCAAAACTCTGTATAAAAATGCTTCCACTGCTTTTCTCCGCCTCTTGGCGAACACTCCTCCCATCTGAGCCCTTCCTCTAGCCGCCATCTTGAGCTCTCTGCAGTCCTGCCAGCTTAGAGCTTTTTGATATATTAAACAACTTTTTCATAACTCTCTAGCAGCTTTATTTAAACAAAGCAGCTATCGCTAACTATAGCAAATGTTTTTGTATTAATGAAGACTTTGGCAACGACACAGAAAAGAACCAAACTCTGTCCTGAGCGGCTGGATCTGTAAGCCCACACCAGAGTGATGTCATCATTGCACTTGTGTGCACGCCAAGGTTCGTCCATAATGAGCACCAGTGGCAGATCTAATGGGCGGCTGCTTGGGCTACAGCCCCAGAAGTTTCAGCAACAGCCCCGGATCTCGCTTCTGAGCTGATCTGTGTTAAATGTGCAGTACTGGAATTCAACATATGGTGGCAGCATGCGCAGGAAAGCAGCCTGTAGGAGAAGAAGTTGTCACCACTAGCTGTGGCTGAACTAGTGTTAATTTTAGTAGCCATTTTTAAATTTAGTTTCAGTTTTAGTCCAGTTTCAGCATTGCTTGTTAGTTTTTATCACATTTAGTCGACATCATCCCATTTTTATTTAGTCTAATTTTAGTCGACTATAAGTCAGAGCATTTTAGTCTTTTAGTCCAAGAAAACATAATTCTATTCGTTTAGTTTTAGTCAACAAAAAATTTCAACATTTTAGTCTAGTTTTAGTCAGGACATAATTTTAACCTTTTACTTTTTTTTTTTTTCATTAACTTTCTTTATTGGAAGCAATTTAACAAACACAGTAGTTACACACAGGTGTAGCATGACAGATGACTCTTCCATTCTTTTTCCCCGTTTTTTTTTTTTTTCCCCTTCCCCCTCCCCTCCCCTCCCCTCCCACCCCAATAAAGAGCAGTTGCTTATGTAAAGGAAAATCAACATATAATCAATAAAGTGTGTATAAGAACATAAATAAGAAAAGTAGAATGACTGAAATTAGAAAGTGTTTAAAAAAAAAAAAAAAAAAAAAAAAAAAAAATAATAATAATAATAATAATAATAATAAAAAAAAAATAATAATAATAATAAAAAAAAAAAAAAAAAAAAAAAAAAAAAAATAATAATAATAATAATAATAAAAAAAAAAAAAAATAATAATAATAATAAAAAAAAAAAAAAAAAAAAAAAAAAAAAAGGGGGGGGGGGGCTCAATCATCACAATCAGGTAGAGGTGTACAATGTTCAATGTAATTTAATAGAGGTTTCCAAGTCCTTTCAAACAAACTTAAGGACCCATTGAGGGAAAATCTAAGTCTCTCAAGCCTGACTGTCAGTAATACTTCCTTCATCCATCTGTTGAGAGATGGAGGATGAGGATGTTTCCACTTAAGAAGTATGAGTCTCCTGGCCAGCAGGGTGACAAAGGCTAGAACAGTTTGAATGGCTTTAGAGTTAAAGGGCTGTAAGGGGACACCAAACAAAGCTAAGTGAGGATCGGGAGTAATGACAGTATTGTACGCTGTACTAAGAGTTTTGAAGATTTCAGACCAGAATGTGGCAAGCCTGGGGCAGGACCAAAACATATGGGAATGGTTGGCTGGAGATTGTTTGCACCTATTACACGAATCAGTTACATTGGGAAAAATCCGGGATAACCTTAGATTAGTGTAGTGGGCTTTATGTACAACTTTACATTGCAAGAGGCTGTGCCTTGCGCAGATTGAAGAGGAGTGAACCATCTTTAAAACCTGTCGCCAATAATCCTCAGGCAGCGAGGTTCCAAGCTCTTGCTCCCACGAGTCTCTGGGTTCAGGTGCCGGGGTATTGGCAGTGGAATTAATGAGGCTGTAAATGCTAGAGGTCAATCGTTTTTGTTCAGGGTCAAGAGCCAGTAGTGAGTCAACTAGAGATGCTGGGGGGCGACTGGGAAATTTGGGATTCTGGTTCTGAATAAAGTGTCTTATCTGGAAGAAACGAAATAAATGGGATTTGGGCAGGTGAAATGTTTCTGACAGCTCTGAAAAGGACATAAAAGTCGCTTGGTTATAAAGGTCTTTAAATTTAGTTATCCCTTTGTCAAACCAAACCTGAAAGGTCAAATCAGAACAGGAAGGCAGAAAGAGGTGATTGTTTACAATTGGAGAGAAATCTGAGGCTCTGTGGAGACCGAGGCTTTTCCTAATTTGGATCCAAATTTTAATAGAGTTAAAAACCAGAGGATTTGAAGTAAAACTGGATATAGTTAACAGGAGTTGGGAGCAAATCAGGGAATGAAGAGAAAGTTTAGAGGATGAAAGTTCCATGTGTACCCAGGCAGGTCTTTCATCATCGGCTGTGTTGGTTATCCAATATAAGAGTTTATGAATATTGCAGGACCAGTAATAGTGTAAAAAATTGGGCATCGCTAAGCCGCCAAGCGCCTTTGGAAGCTGTAGCACTGACTTTCTGATACGTGGACTTGTGTTGCCCCAGAGGAAGGAACTTATTGATTGATCAAGCAATCTGAAAAAGGACTTGTTAATAACCACAGGGATATGTGAGAAAAGATATAGAAACTTGGGTAACACAACCATTTTAACCAAACTAACACGACCTGCCAGGGATAATGGGAGAGCAGACCATCTGTCAAGTCTAGTTTACATTTCTCAAGGAGAGGAGAGAAATTTTGGGAGAAAAGTTGGTAGAATGAATTTGCAATGTGCACCCCCAAATACTTAAATCCATCCCTAGCATATTTAAAAGGGAAAAAAGTTGGGGGGATATTTTTGGCCAGAGAGTTAACAGGGAAAAGTTCGCTTTTGTGGAGATTAAGTTTGTAGCCTGAGTAAGATCCAAATTTTTTAAAGATATCTAGAGTTACAGGAAGAGACGCAGCAGGGTTAGCCATATATAAAAGGAGGTCGTCAGCATATAACGATAATTTATGGACTTTCCCGGCTCTGGTAATGCCCTCAAACCCACTCTCCTGACGAAGCCAGATGGCTAATGGCTCGATTGCTAATGCGAATAAGAGGGGGGAGAGAGGACAGCCCTGTCTAGTTCCCCGACAGAGGGGAAATGAGATTGACTGAAGACCATTTGTGTGGACAGTGGCAACTGGGTTGGCATAAAGTAGTTTAATCCAAGATATAAATTCAGAGTTGAAACCGAATCTTTGCAAAACAAAAAAAAGGAAGTTCCACTCCACCCTGTCAAAGGCCTTCTCTGCATCAAGTGAGACAACCACTTCGGGAACGTTTGAACTAGGATCACTAATAATATTAAGGAGTCTCCTTGTGTTGTGGAATGAGTGCCTACCTAGCATAAAACCTGTTTGATCAGTTGAAATTATACTTGGGAGGACACGCTGTAGACGGAGGGCAAGAATCTTTGACAGAATCTTTAGATCAACATTTAAAAGGGAGATGGGTCTATAGCTACTGCACATTAGAGGGTCTTTATCCCTCTTTAGCAGGAGAGAAATTGAGGCCTCCGACAGGGTGGGGGGCAAAAACCCCTTCGCAAAGGATTCATTATACATTTGTTGAAGGGCTGGGGCAATGGTAACCGAGAATGACTTGAAAAATTCAGCAGTGAACCCATCGGGGCCCGGAGATTTACCGTTTTGGAGTGCTGAAATTGCTTCCTGTACCTCCTTGACAGAAATGGGATTTCCCAGCTCTCCAGACAAGTCTTCATTAATTTTAGGGAAAGTTATCTTATCTAGCGGGTTATCGTCTCTCCAGACATCCGATGGACACTGTGAGGAGTAAAGGTTGGAGTAGTAGGAGCAGAACATCTCATTGATCTCAGTAGGGTCTGAGGTAACTTCACCCGAAGCGGATTTGATCTTTGGGATCAGCCTAGATTGTGTGGCTGCGCGTGCTTGATGTGCTAATAATCTTCCTGCTTTATCCCCAGTCTCGAAGAAACGTTGTTTAGTCAGGAATAACTGTTTTTGTGTTTTACTCGTGGATAATAGATCAAATTTGGACTGAAGCAGAAGACGTTGTTTATAAAGAGTGGGTGTGGGAGCTGAAGCATACAAATGATCCACTCTCAGTATTTCCTTAGTGAGAGCCTCCGACTCCTCCCTTTCTCTTCTCTTCAAAGTTGAAACATATGATATAATTTGTCCACGCATATATGCCTTAAAAGTTTCCCATAGTGTGGATCTTGATATTTGTGGGGAGTCATTGGTGTCAAAAAACAAGGAGATCTGAGCATTAAGGAAGTTTTTAAAGGGAGCCTGAGCTAGTAAGGCAGAATTAAATCTCCACCGTCTGGGGGGCGGGACACGGCTAGAAAAGGTAAGATCAACCGATACGGGGGCGTGGTCAGAAATGACAATGGTATGGTATTCACAGGAATGGATGTTAGACAGAAAATAATTATCCAGAAGGAAAAAATCTATTCGTGAATATGAATGATGGACGTGAGAGAAAAAGGAAAATACTTTATTCGAAGGTGATTTAACTCTCCATGGGTCAGATAAACCAAGACTAGTCTTGTACACATCAAGAGCTTTGGCTGATTTGGATAACATCTGGGGAGATGAAGAAGATCTGTCTAGAGAGGGGTCCTGGATTAAATTGAAGTCACCGCCAATAATTAAGTATACGGAGGTTAACTCTTCGCGACCTGTTTTCGAGATCCTCGAGGCGGTCTTGAAGAGACTTATTCTGGGCTTCTAGTATTTTCACGGTCTTCTCGCTGTTTGTAATGCGCTCAAAGTTGTCCCCAGCCAGAGTCTCTGCAGCAGTGAGGCACCTTTTACTTTTTTGTCAGCAGATAATATTTAACATTTTTATTTAACATAATCTTTTTGATAAAAAAAACACAATTTTAAGGAACACATGCAGAAATGGAAGA